CAGCACCCATCCTCACATCACTCTGCGTCCTGTAAGCTGAGGTGACTTGCCATAGTGCCTTCTCATGCCCTATCCCCAGAAAACACGTTCCACTTTCCACCCGTAAGAATTTGACTGCTCTGGGCACCTCACGTGTGGAATTACTGCATGGGACCGGCTTATTTCCCCTGGCACAGGGTCCCATGTTGGTGTGGCATGCTGAATGCTCCGTTACGCGTGGACATTTCTGCTTCTGAGTACTGTCTGTTAGTGAACACTTCTCTGCTTTTTATCTCTGGGATGTTGTATATAGCCCGAATAACACTGAGGTGTGTGGATCCTGCTCCCTGAGTCGCTGCCTCTAGTACTTTGTGTGTGTGTTCTGAGGGGAAATTTCTCGATGCTCAACCCTCTTTCTCTCCAAATCAGAACTTTCCTATGAGCGATCTCATTTTTATATGTATTTATTGTGGTGCTGGAGATGGAGACGGGGCACCACTGTGCTGTGCCTCCCACAGTACTCCCACTGTAAAGATGGAGATGGAGACGGGGCACCACTGTGCTGTGCCTCCCACAGTACTCCCACTGTAAAGATGGAGATGGAGACGGGGCACCACTGTGCTGTGCCTCCCACAATACTCCCACTGTAAAGAAATCGAACAATGTAGTGTCCTGTGATAATTTGTCTTAGAGCTGCAGCCTCTTTAACCACCCTTTGTCTTTGCCATCTGTGTCCCCAGATAACAGGCTTTGCCTAGTTCCGAGTGAGGCAGGGCTGTGAAATGAAGCATGGTGTGCCTCCCAGCTGGGCTCTCTTCCTCTACTGCACAGTTAGGTCAGTTCAGACTGCCAGAGCGCCTGAGTTAGACTCTCCGGGCCCATGAGAGAAAGCTGGGCATGGCTGGATGTGCCTGCCATCCCAGCACTGGGGGATGGGGGTGGGGACAGACAGACTCTGGGGGTGGAGAGTGAGGACAGACAGACTCTGGAAGCTTATTTGCCAGCCAGCTAGCCTAACTGAAACACTGAGCTGCCGCTTCAGAGAGAGAGACCCTGTCTCAAAGCAATATGACAGAGCAATAGAGCAGTAAATCCTATGGAGTGTGTGCATGTGCATGCGTGTGTGTGTTTGTCTTTCCAGGGACAGTTGAAAGCACTCAACAGACCACTCTGCCTTTGCATGCATATACCTGCCCACTCATGTGCATGTACACCCCTCCACATACCACACACACACCACATACATCACATTCTACAAACAGATAACACATATCATATATCACACACCTATCATACACATACAACACACACACATCACACACCACACACAGATAACACACATATCACACACAAATAACACATACACATCACATGCCATACACACATATCACACAAACATTTCCACACACATCACACACCACATACACATACCACACAAATACCCCCCACATCACATACCACACACATACCACCCCCCCAACACACACTTGCTGTAAACTGATGGCAACAGCATCTACTTTTTCAGCCTGGCTGGGAAGTCTACTGAAGGTTTAGTAGATGCAGTGTCTGTTGGGGACGCTCATCCTGCTTACAGATGCTGAAGAGAGATCAGGCTCTGGGCTCATCCTCATCTTTAAGGACATGAAGCCCACTGGGGGTTCCACTCTTACCATCTCACGTAGGTCTATTAATTTCTCATAAAGATCACGTTGGTAACTGGAACTTTAATACATGAATGCGGGGGCCCAGCATTCATACCGAGTGCCATACTTCAAGAAGGGAAAGCAGAGTTGTGGAGAAGAGGGGCCCAGAGGAAGAAAGGTAGAGCAACCAAGAGGAGAGAAACCAAAAAATAATAAAGATTACCAAGGAGGGAAAGGGGACCGAGTGGGACAAAGGGGAAATGAGACTTGGGAAGGGAAATCAAAGTCCTGAAGCTTGGCTTCACCTCTTCCTTCATCTTTGAATTAAACAGCTGTTCTCTCTGGGGCTGAGGATGATTCTGGAAGATAGGAATCAGCTGCCAGGGTCTTCCTGTGTCAGGTGGTAACCAAGCCAGGGGTCACTTGGGGTGGATGAACTCAACCAGCACCCTGCAAGCTCCATAGCCTGGGCAGAAAGAGAGACTGGACCGCCATTCCCCCATTTCCTTCCCTCTGGACAGGAGACCATCCTGGTCCCAGACATCTCTCCTCAAATCCCAAGGCTGGAGACCTTCAAGGAAGAAGCTTCAACTCCAGCTTCCTCTATATCCCTGTTTCCTTTATATCCCCAATACTTGGAGGCTAGGGTCCGCTAGGGTCCTGCTAGGGTCCTGCTAGGGTCCTGCTAGGGTCCGCTAGGGTCTGCTAGGGTCCTGCTAGGGTCCTGCTAGGGTCCGCTAGGGTCCTGCTAGGGTCCTGCTAGGCCAGTTGGTAGGTCTGACCTGCTCTGCATTCTCTTTTATATTTCTCTCTCTCTCTCTCTCTCTCTCTCTCTCTCTCTCTCTCTCTCTCTCTCTCTGTGTGTGTGTGTGTGTGTGTGTGTGTCTGTCTGTCTGTCTGTCTCTATCTTTCTTGAGACAGGGTCTTAATTTGTAGCTTTGGTGACCTGGAACTCACCCAGCTGACTTCACACTCACAGAGATGCCCCTGCTCCTGCCTTCCCAAGTGCCGGGATTAAAGGTGTGGACCTCCATGCCCAGCTCTTGCTTAGCATCTTTTGCAGATGACAGAGAAGGTGCAGGCACCTGGTCTGTTTTAGACAGAGTTCCTCAGGCAGGTGTAACCAAGTACTTTATTCCCTGTCAAACTAGTTGAATGTTCATCCGCCTGTAGGGTTCACGTGATTTGTATTTGTGCAGACTGTCTGAACATGCTTTTTTCTACATGGTACTCCAGGGTGAAGCTGATGATACTGAGTGCCACTTTAACCGCAAGCTGGCCTGGGTCTGATGGCTGGCCAGCAGTGTGGTCCGTGACACAGCACACGGTCCTGCACATAGTTGTTCTTCCATGTCTCCACATTGTGAAACCTAAGATAGTCTTCCTTGTGGAGAGAATTCCATTTGAGGATTTCCAGTCTGACCAAGACATAAAACACGAGTGATTTCCCTGGGCCAAGATGCTTATGAGAGTGATAGCATACATCCTCGATCCTCTCAGGAGAGCTGCCCCTTGGGATACTGGACACTATCTGGATTGGTTTTATTGACTAGGAGCTGCTCTGACATTGAATAAATGAATGGTAGAGGTCAGGCTAGCTCTCCTGTGGTACCCAGGACAGCTCCAGAAAAGGATGATCTGGTCCAAAATCCCGGTGGCACCAAGGCTTAAAAGCTGCCATAACGTGTGTAATGGATGAAACCCAGCCTGACTAAATCCACTCATCTTAATAGGAAGAACACAGGGATGGGCAGGCAGGGCTTCTGACTCTACAGTTTTCAGGGCTTCCCCCTTTTAGCGTTTAAAATAGATATGATAGTTAGATAGATAGATAGATAGATAGATTAATAGATAGATAGATAGTGTGTATGTGTTATGATAGATGATAGATGGTAGATAGGGTGTGTATGTGGTGTGTGTGTGTGTGTGTGTACCAATACCTACTCACATGTGGAGGTCAGAGGACAACCTCGGGTGTCCATCATCCGCTGTTTGAGAGAGGGTCTTCCTTGTTTGATGTTTTTCTGCGTACTCCAGGCTAGCTGGCCTTCAGCTTCTGGGATGTCTCTTCTCTCTGCATCCCTTCTCACTGTTGGGGCCACACATGCCGTGCACCTGGCTTTTCCATGGGTTCTAGGAATCCAGACTCAGGCCCTCAGGGTTGCATTCCTATTGCTTTTATCATGAGACCTCTTCCTGGACCCCTTTTGTTTTTATATTTTGAAATAATTTTAGATTTACAAGCTGGATATGGTGCGATTGCCTTTAATCCCAGCACTTGGGAGGCAGAGGTGGGTGACTCTCTGTGAGTCTGAAGAGTGGTCTACACTCTCGTCTGCAGAGTGAGTGAGTTCTAGGCCAGTCAGGGCTCCATAGTGAAACCTGTCTCTAATAATAATAGTATAATCACTATAATTATTATGGACTTACAGACTGCCTAGTTTTAACCCATTTCCTCAGCATTCGGCTCTTGAAAGACTTCCTAAATACATGAAAGAAGAGGCTGTGGAGAGGACACGTTAAGCCTCCTTCTTACAAGGCTTCACTCTGAGCAGCCGCTGAGGGTGAGGGCATGGGGTGAAATGAGTTAAAGAGAGCCCCTGAGCTGCCTGCGGGTGCACCCGCCTGGTTTGGGTCATGAAGTGGCCGTGGCATTGGTGTCTGAGAGGCACCTCCCCCTTGTGCTGCTGTGGCTATCTTTAGACAGAGTCGCCCTTAGCCAGCTGTGCAGGGTGGCCAGCACAGCCTGGTAAACTACTACCTGCCCTATAAATGTGTGCGTACCGACTAAAACACATCACCTGGGCCTTGGTTAGCTCAGTGGCAGCGCATGTGCTTGCCTCCAGATCCCATCCCTGGTAGCAAAGTCAAACAGACACCTAAGAAGGGAAGGGCCCTCGTAGTTTTGGTGGTACACTGAAGTACCTCTAGTTTTTTAAAACATATTAAACATGTATTAACCTATTGTTAGAGATAAAAATGAAGTTATGGTTCTGTAGCCTATGTTTCTTTTCAGCTTGTGTTTATCATGCTGTCTCTGGGCACTGCGTCCAGTGTTGATCGTTTAACGTGAGGGCTTCAGGATTGTCTGCCTACTCAAGACCCATGGGAGTGGCTCAATTTTTTTGGTAGCATTAGTGGTTGAACCCAAGGCCATGTGTAATGCCGGGTAGGCATTCCATGAGTCTCTCCTATGTTAAATTTTAGGACGTATTTCGGGTTTCTTGGGCAGGGAGTACTATGACACACTGGATCTGAAGTGTATTTGACAGCGCCAGGTGCTGGTGTTGCTAACTGTTTCAATCTAGATGCTGCAGCAATGCTAGGACAGTCTGTGCGGTGGTCTTAGACTTCAGCTGTGTCTTGTGTGTCCCGCAGGCAAATACGTTTATCAGCCCATGACCCCTGTGGAGCAGCTCCCAAGCACAGAGATCCCCGCGAGGCCGCGAGAACCCACCAACACCATTCAGATCTCCGTCTCGCTCACTGAACACTTTTTGAAGTTTGCATCTGTCTTCCAGCCTCCACTTCCCCCCGAGTCGCCAAGGTACTGTATGATTTCCGATCTCTTCATCGACAACTATCAGGTTAAATGTATCAACGGGAAGATGTGCTATGTGCAGAAGCAGCAGGCGCCCCATTCCCAGAAGATGAGCCCCGAGGAGGTCTCTGCACACGATGCCTTAATTTCTAAAGAGAGCGACACTCCGAAACTGGGCCACTGCTCCTCCCCTTCCAGTTCCGAGGACTCGGGGATCAATGCCATTGGGGCGCACTATGTGGAATCCTGTGACGAGGACACAGAAGAGGGGGCGGAACTGAGTTCCGAGGAAGATTATAGCCCCGAGAGCAGCTGGGAACCCGACGAGTGCACCCTTCTTTCCCCGTCGCAGTCTGATCTAGAAGTGATCGAAACCATGGAAACCACTGTGTAGTCAGCTGGGACCTGCTGCCAGGATCCACCCTGAGCCTCTGTACTTTGATTTGATGCGTCCTTTTCCAATACTCTTGGCATTTTCACAGCCCTGTTACCACCCATAGTGTTCAGGGGTCTGCTAACTAGTGTTACCCTTAAAGTTATCTTGTAACTATGACATATTGTTTTCTTTTGTATCTTGCTTTCTATGTGGCCTCTGGTGTCATGAGTTGTGACCCAGCCTTAATTTCACTTAGAACTTTGAGAGCGGTGGTGACCACAGAGTGTCACGGGTCGGTCGGTCGGTCGGTCACATGGAGGAGCTTCCTAGAGTGGAGGTGACCGTATTTTACCAGTAGCCCATCCTTTGTGGTGAGGGCTCTTGTTCAGCTTCCCTTTGGCATGTCATGTGACACCTCTGTTCTCCTGGTTTCGGTATGGGGAGCAGCCCGCTTCAGGACACAGTGTTGCTGGCAATAATCTTTCCCTTCCTCCTTCCTGCTAGCTGTGTGGGCTCAGGACAAGAGTAGCCTCAGGAGTTACTTCCGGGAGGTCCTTGGAGGTCCCCTCATCCCACAGCTTCTGTGACTGTGAGGAGAGATGGGCCTCTCCAGTTTGTGTCTAGTCCAGCTAGTGTGATGTGTGTGTATGTACATACACCAGCTTGTGCGGTGTGATGTGTGTGTATATACATACATGCAGTAGGGTAGTGGGGATTCAGAAGAGCTCAGACCTGGTTCTCACCATGAAGGGGACACACTGAGTTACAGGACACAAATCACGCAGCTCACGGCATCCAGGAGGTTCTTGGAACCGGGGTAGGAGAGGTGGACGTGGCCTAGGCCAGCTGAGGAAGTTGCTACAATGACTGAGCTGGCCCTGGGTGGATTCCACAGCATCCACTGCCCTTCGTGATTGTTTTTCAGATCAGGGAGAAGCATTTAAGTTTTATAGGTATTATATTTAGGAGGCAGCGCATCTGACATCTTAAGAAAAAAAAAAACCACACTAGTTTTAGTTAGCATGGAAATGCTAAAAGACAAGTCCTTTAGGGATTAGGAATGAATCTAATAGGTTTGATTAATTCTGCTTCGTTTGGTTGTATGAAGCATTAGAATGGCTTAGATGAGAAATGGACTAGAATTTTGTATGATGCATGGGTTTTATGCAAATGCAAAGACAGTTGAAATAGCTCACTGCTGAGTCAGGAAGATGTTTTATGTAACACTTCTTCACTTTACTACGCCGGAATGCACACACGTGTGTGCTCTTTCACACACACGACATAGTGGGTAATTCTTTCTTACATAGCTTTCTTCGAAACTCTGCCCCTGATTTGCTATATAGTGGACATTCTCGTGTGATTTCACTATCTGCCGTTCTCCTAAGTTTATGTGTGAGGCATAGCACAAATCTGGGAGCTTTAACATCTGTGAGGAGACCCACACAGCTGCAGGGGGCGGGTGTCTCAGATCCTGTTGGTCTGAGCAGGCACCATGGCCTTTGTGCTGTCAGAATCTCACACATTCCTCTCTGTTCATGTGTCCTTGAGGGAAGGAGAGGCTCGCCGTGCTCTCGGGGCCTCCTGTATTTGGGGTTCTTCACTGTGTCCTCAGGAAGAATCTGCTTTCCCAACTGAATATGGAGTCACAGTGATTCACCACTAGCCCCTTCTTTAGGCTGACAAGCCCAGAACATTCAGTGTTCAGAAGGCAGAATATGTGGCTTCCTTTGAAGGCAGTCATTACAACCTTCTGTGCTGGAGGAGAATGTAGCAAAAATCCCCACTTACTGAAATGCAAAGGCTCAAGCCAAGAAGGACCAGCAGGCACAGGGCAGGGCAGGTGGGAGCAGCCACAACTCACCTGGAGGGTCATGCTGCTGGCCTGGGATGGCCTGGGGACATCTGGTGAGCCCTGCCTGAGGTTTGTGGTGCCTCACTGGAGGCAGGTATCCGTCACCTGGCACTCAGGGCTGTGGAGACAGCACCGGGGCCATCTTCAAATGTGCGGTGAACGATCTCCTCAGATCCCCAGGTGGAGAGGCACGCAGCAGAGCTCCCCACACCTCTCTGCTGTGGGCCCACAGCCACGAGTACTAAGTTAGCTGGAGTCTACAACTCGGGCTCCATGAAAACACGGAGTCAGAGCCACGGTTCTGGAGCTTAGCTGAGTGTTGGGCTTATGCCCTTTATCCATAACATCTGTGACTTCTGTCCAGGGTCCTATTTTCTAAACCCCGACTGCCATTCAGACTTGCCACAAATGTGATGTAATTTTTGCATTCAATAACAATTGACGATCCCATTAAATATTTGCACAATCTCTTTGTAATTAAATTCACTAAGCTTCACTTGCCAGTTTTATAAAATTGGACACATCCCCTTGCATTCTGGGATCTCAAAACGGCCTTTTCTGAAGAAGCACACCGAGCGTTTTTTCAGTTTTAGTCTCCTATCACTGTTCATACCAGTAACTGTCTAAAATACAATTAAGCCAGAATTACTTCTCTATGCTTGCGTTCTGAAATCAGCTGAAAAGAATATAAAAAAAATGTATAGCTTAACTTCAATTCTAGGCCTATTCTGTTCTATGTTCTATGAGAGAATTTCTCTGTAATCCTGATATTATAGTGCTGATTTGTATACCTGTATTCATAGGCACCTTAGAAAACTTAGATGCAACATGCACTATAGACGGTAAGCACAGTTGTGTTAAATAGGCTTTTGACTAGCCCTTGTACAGTGAGAGACGGAAGCTTGCAATCTGGACTTTATAGAGTGCTGGCCTGCAAGGCTTGGACCACGTGGATGGGCTTCTGTGAGAAACTGGCACTGTTGCCATTTTTTTTTTTTGAAAGCTTGTTAGGTACCAGCGTGACCCCACTAAATGCAGAATATAGTTTTCTTACCTAACCAAGATTTTAACTTTTAAGTGTGTCCATAACTTTTCTGAGAAATGACAAAGCAATTAAAAGTCCTTTTTGGGATAACTATTTGATATCTTAAAAAAAAAAATAAGGCTTTACTTTAAAATCTGAGGTTTTTTTTTTCTTTTTGCCTTGTAACATTTAAGGTATAAAACGAGAATTTGAGGATAACCCTGAAGAGAAGCAGTTGCTTTTCTGGAAGACGTACACCTCAAAGTGACACAGCATAGGACAGAGTAAACCCAAGCCTGTGTCTCAGCAGAACACAGTGAAATACAATACAGAATAGTCTAAAACCGGAGCTACAGCATCCCAACACAAGACAACACAACACACTATACAGAATAGACTAAAACCAGAGCTACAGCATCCCAACACAAGACAGCACAGCACAACAACACACCACAACACAGCACACTATACAGAATAGTCTAAAACCAGAGCTACAGCATCCCAACACACCACAACACAGCACAACAACACACCACAACACAGCACACTATACAGAATAGTCTAAAACCAGAGCTACAGCATCCCAACACAAGACAACACAGCACAACACAGCACACTATACAGAATAGTCTAAAACCAGAGCCACAGCATCCCAACACAAGACAACACAGCACAACAACACACCACAACACAGCACACTATACAGAATAGTCTAAAACCAGAGCCACAGCATCCCAACACAAGACAACACAGCACAACAACACACCACAACACAGCACACTATACAGAATAGACTAAAACCAGAGCTACAGCATCCCAACACAAGACAACACAGCATAACAACACATCACAACACAGCACACTATACAGAATAGACTAAAACCAGAGCTACAGCATCCCAACACAAGACAACACAGCACAACACAGCACACTATACAGAATAGACTAAAACCGGAGCTACAGCATCCCAACACAAGACAACACAGCACAACAACACACCACAACACAGCACACTATACAGAATAGACTAAAACCAGAGCTACAGTGCCCACACTCAACACGGCACAACACAGTGTAAAACACTGCAAAGCCAGTGTCCCAACAGGCCGTAATACAATATAATGCAGCACAACAACACAATATAACACAAGGCAATGCACACAACACGATGTAAAACCTGAGCCATGGATATTTTCTCACAAGTCTTTGGGATCTGATCGTCTTGGGAATATTCTTTGACTTCCTAACCTCGCCTGCTTGTCTATTTGAGATACCACGCTCCTCTGGGGTTGATCAGAACAAATTCTTCTTATGCAAATTTGATTGCAACCAGGCACTTTAGACAGTCAGAATATCCAATGAGCATGGTAGTGTAGATACTGCCATGTAAGCAAAAAGACACTTTTAAGTAAAATACTATTTATGTCATTGCTCTTGACTGTCCCCGAACCCTAGTTTCAAAATGTTATTGTCATATTTTGACTTTTTACTTGAGGGAAATATTGGAACAGTTCTCTTTCCTTCCCCTTTGTCCAGCGGTGCTGCGAACCCAAACAGAGGACTGTGGGGCTTGGTGGGGAGGGTGTGAGTGTGCTCCCCGTGGAGGGGCGGGTGGGAGGTGAGGGGGGCACCACTCACCTCTTCAGTACCCCACCGCCCTGAACGACATATTAAACCTCAGTGTAAACACAAGGGCATTTCTCAAAATGAGTTCATTTCCAAAGCTCACCTTGTCGTGACTATGGTGCCTAAGCACAGTGTGCCCGAAGGGCTGGTGCAGCCCATGGAGTAGCTGTTTGTGACGGAGGGTGAAGCAGCCGGAAGCCGGTCCGGAGTCTGCAATGGCGCTCCCAGGTCCCTGTGTGCGCACGCGCATCAAGGCTAGCCATGCCTTGCAGTAGTCACGTGGTGTGCCGGGTTCTTTGGAACCTGTTTTAAAGTTTAAGCACAATGTTGACCCTTCTGTAATTTCCTAAAATTAGATTCTGTTTTCCTAAGACAGTTCAACTTTAGAGAAACACTGCTGTACAATAAATGTGGTTTTCTTTTGTACTAGAACAAACTGCTGTTGAGTTTTTGTATCGAGTGTTTACTGTGTGCTAGGAGAGAAGCTGTCTGTGCCCTTTGCCCATTTACACTCTATAAAACCTGATGAGACGCAGCTAAATATTCACATGTCCCTGCTTGCCACGTGTGTTCATTGCCAGAACTCTTTGGGAAAACTCTTGTGTTGACTCCATCAGGTTTATATGAAATAAAAATTGTATCACCCCAGAAATAATCTTTATTTCACACCAAGTTAGGCCCTTTCTCCCATTCATGAGTGCTGTATAAGACAGCTATATAAGACGGGGAGGATGAGGGAGGCTGCTTCCCCGTGAGACCTCAGGCTGACTCCATCACTAAGGCCCAGGTCAAGGTTCAGTGTGGCAAGCCCAGGAACTCCATTTGATTTTGCCTGCCAGCTTCTGGGTTTACTCCGTGGGACAGCCTCCCCGGGGACAGTAAACACACCATCGGTAGTGCGTTCACCGAGTTCCTGGTGCCGCCTCACTTCCTCTGTGGTCTTCATGGCACCCAGTGTCACAAATGAGGGCAGCTCAGAAAGTGTTACAGTGGCACCATTCATTAGTCAGGTTGGGACCCGAACCCAGAACCTTGGACCAGAAGTCCACTCTCACGGCCTTTTGTCTGTGTTACTCCATTGCTGTCTGTAACGGAGTGAGTGCTGCCTGAGTGGCTCACCACCCAGTGACCCAGACGGAGCTGGAGCGAGGCTGTGGTCCAGCCTCCCCTTTCTGCGTACTGATTGCCAGCTAGTGCACGTGTGTACGCGTGCCCTGTCACCTATAAGCTCAGCATTCAGACTGGTCCATCACGTCTGCCGTTTCAGTCACGTCCTGGCCTGCACGCCAGGCTGGCTCTCCTTCCAAAAGCGCCAGCTTGCCTTCTTAGGGGATTCCTGCTGACAGTGAGTCTCATCTGCATGTGTGGTTCGCTGATTTAACTTTGCATAATTGTGCTGTAACATTCTGGAAGGCATCTTCTTGTTTGTAGTCTTACAAGTGCTGACTGCCTACACTTCTGCAGTACACCAGGCTAGCCTCTTGTCCTCAGTACAACCTGGGAACTGTTCATGCTTTTAGCTCTCGGTGTCCAGCTCAGGGCCTGTCTCTTGGCACTTGGGTTTGAGGAGAGAGGGTCAGGTGGAGATTCTTTGAGCCAGGGAGACATGATGGAAGTGAATGAACAGGTGGGCGGGTGAGATGGCTCAGCGGTCAAGAGCACTGGTTGCTCTTCCAGAGGACCCAGGTTCAATTCCCAGTGCCCATATGGCAGCTTCTAACTGCCTGTAACTCCAGTCTCAGGAGATTCAACACCTTCACACAGACATACGTGCACACAAAACATGAATGCACATGAAATAAATATATAGATATATAAAGGAACAGGTAAAGATGCTGAGATACTCAGGCAGTTTTTGTTACTTTTTGGAGTTTTCTAAAATGAACCTGTATTTCCATGGCTGAAAATGGAAGTCCTATTGAGCAAAGGGTCCTCATTTCCTGGGATCGGTGGTGGAAGTGGGGTGTCCAGGCAGTGGCCACATTACTGTGTGTCTGTTGAGAGACCAGGGCATTTGCTGGGAGCCTGGAGCCAGCTGGAGTCCGCTGAAGAATAAGCCCATCCCAGGAGCTCCAAACATGGCTGGTGCTTGTGGGCACAGGGGCGTTTTCCTGTGTTCCCAGTCGGAGACTGCCTGTGAAATCTGGAGATGACGGATTAGAAAGCTTGGGTCTTGGGGAATGTCTGAGTCTCGTGGCATCTAGCCTGTCACCCGGTGTAAATCTCCAGACGATCTCTCCCAGCGCAGAGATCTGGTTCTCTGCAAGATGACGGCAAACGCTAGCACTGTAGACTCGTGGAGCACTGCAGGTTGTAGGCACATGAGGCTCACAAGCACCCCTCCCTCCACAGCAGCTTCTTCACTGTCCTTGAAAACTGTGTGTGTGCATGTGCGTGTGCCCGTGTGTTGGCTGAAGCAGTCAAGACTTAAGTCAGATGTGGAGTTCACACTGCAGGGAAATACTAGGGGCAGCCCCCACTGCTCTCCAGCCAGCAAACACCAACCATACAGCTTCCTATTCCTCGCCCAAGCCCAGCCCCTGACTGCTGTGGCCACACACCTGGGCTGCCCAAGAGACCAGCATGTGGGGTATATTGCAGGGAGCATGCTCAGCCTAACCTCACCCCTCCAGTCCCAGCTGTGCCCAGCCCTAACCAGCAGCTTTAAAGTGGGCCCTGCCAGGGTCAGCTACTCCCTGGCTGTGATGGGGGATGGGAGACTAATGACCGAGCCTTGCTCTTAGAGGTGAACTCAGGAAAGAAGTTTGGGGGTAGATGGTGTGTGAACTATTCCCATCAGTCCATGCGTCTGAAGCTGTAACTTCACGTAGACATTCAGAAAGTCACTAAGCATCCCTAGCTTACCCCTTGGCATTGTGAAATCATCCCCAAGGTCATAACCAATAAAAATAAATGCATATATGTTCACAAAAGTCAGGTGCAAGGATGGTAAGAGGCTAGCGCCTATAGCCACAGAGGCCGCCTTGCAATGGAATGAGTCCGTTTAGACACGATGGAATGTTGTTCAGGAGTCAGTGTTTGATTGGCAGAGCGGCACGCATGCACACACATAAATGAACACACACATACACACATGCACACATGCACACGCACGAGAACATGTGTGTAACAGCACTGAACATGTTCTTAGGAATCAGGATATTGATTGGCCTGGGGGTGGACAATCTGCCATGGAGGTCATCTCTATGTGGTTGACCTGATACACTCACGTTATACACGGCGTTTGTGAACGTTTCTGTCCACGCCTGGGAAAAATGGCGACTTTAGGAGACAGTAGTGACACTTGTTTGAAGCCAAGCATGGCACATGCTTGGCACTCAGAATCTGACTGTGCAAACAGAACGAAGAACACATACCCTCCTACCGCCCTGAGCAGAGGTAGAGGCAGGAAAGATTAGCAGGGCTCATGAGCAGTATTACGGGGCGTGCTCCCTGGAGCACAGACAAGGTGAGAGCCAAATGCTGCTTTCTGCTGTGTGTGTGTGTGTGTCTGAGAAGGGCTTCAAAAAGTATGTGCAGAGAAGCCTGGAGCCAAAAGAGGGAGCTGGGTGCCCTGGGGCGGAGGGGACATGCACTTCCATGCTGGGGCACTCCCAGGAGCTCATCTGTGCTCTGGCCTTCCCTGGAGTGGCACTGACCTACCCAGAAGGCCACACTGCAGGAGGTCTTGCTTGTACTCTGGGCACAGCTGCAGCTTTGGGAACCATTTTCCTGCAGACAGTGCTGAGTGGAAACACGGCTCTAAAAGGATCCCCATCACTCTGAATTATTTATCCGCTAAAGCATTCATCAAGGATGAGCTGGCTCTCCTCCTGCAGCGCTCCCTCCCCTCCCGGCAGCCATACTGGGTCACGCCTTTATAAAACATTTTCTCATACATTCCCGAGAGCTTTCTATGGCTGGAGTTCTCCAGAGGTCCCAACTGCCTTCCTTAGCTCTGGGTGTCTTTGGGGGGGGGGGGC